TGAGATCACGTATCATTTGAAGTTAGACCAACATGGAAAATCTGGAAGAACTGGACGTCCATTTCGTCCTAGTATTGAACTCCTCACCAGTGCGCATCCACTATCCTGCTTCGCGACTTATCAGTCTCGCGCGCGAACGCTTAACCTTTAGATCACTGAGCTAGTCGATATCCAATGGTGTGAATGTCTAACTTCAACTAACCCATTTCATTTTGTTTGTTTCCAAACATCGAATGTGAACAAATAAAACGTTTTATCAAATAGAATAATATCAAAATTCAGTTGTAAATGGTAAGACTATTCCTGGATTCATAAGTAAAACCGTTAGTCTATGAATTAGAAACCGAAAATTCATAGAATAGATGTATCAACTATGACAATAAATCATTACTTTGTTTATTGCCAACCTTATAATCTTAACAGTGGATAATGTAACTATTAAGCCGTTGATTTTTAGCTTCCAATCTATTATCAACTTTCTTATTTACTTTAAAGTCTCAGATGATCCACAAGGGTGTTAGGTACCTGTATGATTACCCCACAGGATTGAACTTATACTATTCAGATTGTAGTGTTTAAGCCTACATAGTGTCTGGTTCTCCTATGGTGTGTGGTTGAGCTGTACTACTCGAGATATAAATTTTAAGCCTGGATGTTGTCTGATTCTCCTGAAAAACAGGATTGAGTTGTACTGCTCAGGTTAAGCCTGGGCAGTGTTTGGTTCTCCTGTTAAACAGGATTGAACTGTACTCTTCGGGTTATCACGTGAAAGTTTGTATGGTGTCCGGTTCTCCTGATAATCAATGTAAAATTACTCTACCCCACAAGGGTATATTATATAACTGTGAATAAAGTCACAGAAGACCAAAGACACTGAAAGTTAATGCTTAAATCAAAACTTTATTGAGATATTTACTTTTGAGCTTTAAGTATATGTCACTTCAAATGTTCTCTGATGACAGTACATTATTATACTCAACCTCTTTTAGTGGGAACCTTCATTTTGACGTCAGTTGAATCACACGATATTGTCGACGAGTTCACCACTTTAGTGGCGCAGGATTGTATGATTGATTATTATTGAAACATATATATCTTCTATTCTCGTATAAAATTATCGACTTCAATCGCGTTAGTGAATAATGGAATTAAAATAAGTCAAATACAAAAATGGATTCTTGAATACGTATATTTTGTACACTCGTTGATTTGAATAGACAATCAAAGAGACGTAGCGAAGATATCAAAGAAAAGAGAGCGAAATGAAACGAAATAGATTGCAATGGAGTAGGCTCGTAAACCAACTCGATTTAATCAATATTTATAGTCAGACAGAAATAAACTACAGACAAGTGATGAATAGGATAAGAAGTGTACACACACACACACACGCTCATATAAAAACAGTCAAGGTTGATAAATGGACAATTAACAAGGTCAAAGACGTGACTCGAGAAGAATGAATCAATTGGCCTGTCCAGAAGTTAAAATCAAGTATATGAACTTAACCTAGTAACCGACACTACACCCTAAAACAATTAATGGCGAGACTGTAATTTACAGACAAACCAATCAGATTTACGGTAACAGATTTGGAATTTTGGCGCGGAATCCACTCACCCATTTTGCTAAATAACGTCATCACATTATAAATGATGTCAATTCGTGATGAAAAACCGTCAATCTAATTCCTAACCCTAATCATCAACTGTAAATCATAATCCTTATTCTTCAAACTGCTTTATAACTCTCATTTAGCTCTAGTAAGTAGATAAACACTCTCAAGGTCACTTTAGCGTCACTCAAATGTCGTCGTTTGGCTTTTGCCAACTTACGTTACCTATGGCGAAGGTGAGATATCCGTCTATCAATAAAAGGACGAGTATACTGCACTGCAGTTCGTTGTGTTTTAATTTACGGTTTCAAAACGTGACCATTAAGAGTAAAAGATACTCGTAAGCTACTAGTATTTGATCACAGATGTCTTAGAAATATTGCTCGCATATGCTGGGATCACCAGGTAAGTAATATTGAGGTTAGACTCAGGGTATTACGGAATAGTGGTAAATCAGTTGATGAGGTTGTTAATCTTCATCGACTGAGATGTTTGGGCCACGTGTTACGTATGCCTGAACACCGATTACCACGACGCGTAATGCTCATCGGTGTTGGGTATGGTTGGAAGAAAGTTAGGGGTGACCAAACCAAAATATGGCATCAGTCCATAAAGTCACTCTCTGTCTTGCCTTAAACTATGAGATTAAAATCGCTTGATATCTTTCTTTCTACGAACTAATTCTTTCTTCCTTTATTATATCCTTATACACAATCTTTCTTTTATCTATTACCACCATTGAGTGAACTACTTCTATGAATCCGGTGTTCATCTTGCTGCGCTAATGCGATATGGCAACTTGGACCGATGCATATATGTGCCTTGTCCTACGTTGTAGCTGACTGACTGACTGACTGACCGTCCGAAAATTACAGTCTCACCCAACTAATGAGTTTAAACTCATTCAGTACAGAAATCTATTGATAATTATAGGGTGAAGTTTACTACTATTTATTGATTTTTAGTGATTACTTGTTAACTTATAAACAAAATAGTAACCTGAAGTTCATATTATTAACGGTAATAGAATATTTTGTAGCCATGTCAACTACCTGAATGAAGTTATTTCAATTAAAATCCTCAATTATATATTATAAGAATAACCATTGAATTTAATCTACAAATCGATATACATTCTAAAGAGGTTTACTTTAATAGTAAATACACTTTATGTACTAATACTATGTCTTATATTTTTCAATCACTTGAGGGTTTTCGACTTAGCTGCATGATAGCTATAATCAATAGGAAGAAACGGACATCCAGTGCTTCCAGGTTTTCCATGGTGGTCTAACTTCAATTGACTCATGATCTGAACCATTAAAATTACTACAATCTCCACAAAACACCTTCTGATACTAATCAATATATGCTCACTAGTAACTGACTTCAAGAGTTATATCCTGGAGGTCTAGTGAGAATCGGTGACCAGTGGAGTTCAATCGGTTCTGTTATGAGATATTAACTCACTGAAGACAATCATGAACGGTGACTCAATTTCATCGATTAGTTGAAGTTAGACATTAACACCATTGAATGCCGGCCAGCTCAATGGTCTAGTGGTTAAGTGCTCGCACGCGAGACAGGTAGGTGCTGGGTTTAGATCTCGTGAAGCGGGATAGTGGATGCGCACTGGTGAGAAGTTCCACAATATGACGAAATGGACGTCCAGTTCCTCCAGGTTTTTCATGTTGATCTAGCTTCAATTGACTCATGATTTCAACCATTAAAATTACTATAATATCCACAAAACCGTTCCTGGTACTAACATTAGAAGTACTTAATAGTTGAATTCATATGACACATGTCTTAATAATCTAAATCAAGTGTTATTCAATTTTGTAAAGTAGGAATAGGATAATGTCTAGTCACATCATTTAAGTATGTAACTAACTAACAGAGTATCTGAAATCCACTTATATAAGATTTAAATTAGTACCTATGTTAGAATGAGTGATTGTTTCATAGATTCATTGATAAAGCACGCTATACTGATTTTAGTCTTATTTTAGTTACAAAAGGGCCCCAAATCCTCTGGTGATACCGAGGGTGGGGAGAGTCAGCTCTCCTTTTCCAAATGCTCTCAAACGATCACAGACATACAACCACTATCACACAAGTCCTACTCACTGTCTCTTCGCGGTATTAGTGTTGCTTGCTAAATTAAAAGGATGAAAATTGAATGTTCGACGCTTTACCTGAGTCGATGGATATGGAGGATTCACTCAGGGGGAGTTGGAAAACCCTTATTCCAAATCAATGCTAAACATATGCTCCAGGATCCTGAGGAAATAAAAGGCTTATGAACCAATTATTGGTCACTGACCACCAAGTGACTGCATCTCCTGACATTACTCCATTACATTGTGAATTAGACTTATAGGTTGATTGCTCCAATTGTGGCCCCACTAAGAAAACCACCTACTTCAGTCTGGATACCCATGCAATATCTCATCCCACACACAAATCAACTAACTTATGTCTACGCAAGATACTCAACATCCATTGGCCGGATACCATCAACAACAGCCTACTGTGGGAGAGAACAAACCAGCTTCCAGCTGGTGATGAAAATGGATAGGACATACATTACGCAAATCATCGAACTACATCACGAGGCAAGCCCTAACTTGGAATCCTGAAGGGAAACGCAAAAGAGGAAAGCCAAAGAACATATTACGTTGGGAAATAGAAGCAGATATGAAAAGAATGAATAACAACTAGAAGGAGCTTAAAGGGATTCCTGAGGACAAGATTGGATGGAGAATGCTGGTGAGCGGCCTATGCTCTTTCACGAGGAGCAGCAGGCGTAAGTAAGTAAGTATGTATCACATATGTATTCAGTACCCCTTTTTACCAATATTTATTGATTATTTATTTTATTAATTGTATACATCAAATATCTTTGGATCAATAAAGTACTCTACTGAAATCAACAATTATCTCAAGGTAAATACAGTATTACATAACTGATACACTTCAAAAAGATTATTATTATTTCACTGGTTGAAATCATGAGTCAATTGAAGCTAGACCACCATGAAAAACCTGAAAGCACTGGACGGCCTTTTCGTCATAGTATGGGTTGGTTGTTTGAAGTTAGACATTAACACTGTTGGATACCGGCTCAGTGGTCTAGTTGGTTAAGCGCCTAGTGCGAGACTGATAGGTGCTGGGTTCGAATCTCTAGGGGTGCGGGATCATGGGTGCGCACTGCTGAGGAGTTCCATAGTAGAACGAAACGGCTGTCTAGTGCTTTCAGGTTTTCTATGGTGGTCTAGCTTCAATCGACTCATGATTTCAACTAATGAAATGACTAAAATCTCCACAAGACCCATTCTGATAATAATAATAATTATCATTATCATTACATCATAAGACTTACTTCAGATTGTTTAGACATACATGACAATTTAGATCCCATATTTCATTAAATTGTTGTTTATTATATAGATTAATATGTTTATATAAACAAGCAATTTAAGATAGATGTTAATAAATCCAAAATGATGATATAGAATTTTTCTATTATTAATTGAGTTGATGATTGTTCCTTGTTAGATATGTCAAGGTTTTAAAAGTAATTCCAGTGTAATAGATCAATATTACTGTTGCTGACACGGATGCGGATACGATTGCTGATGCGGTTGCTGATACGGTTGCTGATGCAGTTGTTGTTGTTGCTATGCGACTATTATCACTGTAAATTCTATTTTCTTTTGAATGTAGACACTAGATAATCTATGTACTAATGTTTCAAATATAGAATTTTTGCAAATTTATACCCTATTTATTGTATAGTTGCTTAAATATGAACAATCATACATTAGATAAAAGAGTATGTATATCACCTACGTTCAATCATCATAATATACATTTCTCATAAGGTCAAATTAAATATGAACAAGATTTTGATAGACGGACAAATTTATGTATTAAGTAGTATGATATATACATTGACAATAATCAATTTATAAATTTTTTTGTCAATGTTATATATGACTGAATAAGTAACCAATAGAAAGGAACTATTATGAATGTATATGTAACTATGTATATATATATTTGTGTATCCATGTGTATAGGAGGTACTTTTTTGCTTAGCAACTTGTAAGTGTTACAATGTGGTACATACATGCATGTTTACACGTGTCTATCATGTACAGAAAACATAATATATATAAAGAAAAAGATCTATAGCACTGATGATGGTGATGATAGTAAGATTCAATGTTCAGAATGAGGTTTGTGAAGAACTGTGTTAATTTTCAATAGTTGAATGTATATATCAATGTAAGCTAGATCATCATTGGAAAACTTGGAAGTATTGAACGATTGTTTCATTCCATTAGTACACATTCAAGATCATGCGCATGGGGACTCGAACCTGGGATATTCAGTCTCATGTGCGAATATTTAATGTCTAGACCACTGAGTTAGCATCCAACGATATTAATATATTACTTCCATCGATCCATGAGTGGCTACGCAACTTTTCTGAGAAAGATATTTGTCTCTATCCGACACGGATTGGACTCCAGTGGTTATGGCTTCTCACTTGAATAACAGGAAATCATCTTGAAGTCATTCATTAGTGAGCATATGGTGATTATGATCAGAATGGGGTTTGTGAAGAATTGTGATAATTTTCAATAGTTGAATGTATATATCAATGTAAGCTAGATCATCATTGAAAAACTTGAAAACGTTGGATGATTGTTTCATTCTAGTAGTACACATTCAAGATCATGCGCATGGGGACTCGAACTTGGGATATTCAGTCTCACGTGTGAACATTTAATCTTTAGACCACGATGTTAATGCGTAACTATTGACCCATTGTCTGAGGTAGATACTTGTCTCTATCCGACAAGGATTGGACTCCACTTGTTATGGCATCTTACAAGAATTATAGGAAATCGTCTTGAAGTCATTCATTAGTGAGAACATGATGATTATGATCAGAATGGGGTAATTTTAATAGTTGAATTCATGAATCTATATAAGCTAGGACGAAATGGCCATCCAGTGCTTCCAAGTATCTATGGGTGGTCTAGTATATATCGATTAATGAATTTAACTATTAAAATATTTAATGTGTTTGAAGAATTATTAATCATAAAACTAATGGTATTAAACAGAATAAAACAGGGAAGTGAACATCAACTCTGGGATAAAGGTAAATCGAGCTGAGGAGTCCCAAATAAAACAGAACGCATGTCGTGGACTCCATTGCTAGCTACTATCCATCTTTACTTATAATGCTTGTGACTTAAGGCAATATCAAGGCAATCCCTATAGGATGCAGATATACTAATAAGAGACTGATCAATTTCAGTCCTAAACATCAATGTGAAGATTCATGTAAACAATACCAAGTGAATATAAAACATAGATATTCCTTGTATTATCCGACCTGATTTCCTTGAGGACTGTGATATTTATGCTGATTGACCATTGAGTAACTAAGTAACTAACCTTGTCCCCGTCTAATTACCAGATCGTCAAAATTTATAGTTGAATTGTGACTTTATGGATATTAGTAAATCAATACTAAGGGTATAGTATGCTTGACACTGATAATCTGTTGTTTGGAAGAGTCAAAGGCAAAATTTTATTGAACAGGGTATACTAAGATAGAATTGAAATGTGGAAAGTCGTCCACTAGGTCCGATAGTTGAAAAAACAAGCAATTATATGTCTTCAAGGTTTACATTGACAATTATAATCTAATGTCTGCCATAATACTGAACTAAGCCCAGTATTGCTTCTAGTACCTACCAGATTTCTACCTTTATTCTTCAAATAAACGTCATAGTTTATCAGTAAATGTTCTTAATAAAAATCCTTCAACAACAGATCAGGAAAACCAGTACGTCGAAAATTCCTTCCAATGAAGATGGTTCTCAATTTAATGTGATACCATATCGCCGTGAGTTAGAGAATACTGATGTGTATTTTGTTCCAGTTTAGAATTACATATCAATAATCATTGGAAACTTAATTACGCCTGTTACTCCTCCTGGAGGAGAATAAGTCACACACCAGCATTCTCCGTCCAACCCTGTCCTCAGAAATCCTTTCTAGTTCTTTCCAGTTGATATTCATCCTTTTCATGTCTGATTCCTATTTCTGACGTGGTGTGTTATTTGGTCTTCCTCATTTCCATCTCCCTTCAGGATTCCAAGTTAGCACTTGCCTAGGGATGCAGTTTGTTGATTTCCATAATATATGTCCTATCCATTTCCATCGTCTTTTCCTAATTGCCTCTTCAGTTGGAATCTGGTTTGTTCTCTCCCACAGTAAGTTGTTGCTAATCGCATCCAGTCAACGGATAATGAGTATTTTGTGTAAACAATTGTTTACAAATACTAGTACATTGTTAATGATGGTTGTGATAGTTCTTCAAGTTTCAGCTCCGTACAATGCAATTCAATATCTGAAGGTTTGCATTGAAGATTTTGACTTTGTTATTGACTGACAGGTGTTTCATTTCCATAGTCGTAATGTAGAGTGTATAAAAAATAGAGAAGTGTAATAAGAAGCTCTATCTTTACACCTCTATTGGACATGGAATACTATACTGATAAAAATGTTACAGTTACAATTATATGCTAAATCCTATTAGATAAATCTCATTACTTCAATAGTTTACATTCCTCAAATGCCCTGGTACGACCGAAAATGGGGAGAGTCAGATCTCCCCCTCAAACTGCTCTCAAATGGCCACGCTTATACAGCCACTGTCAGGGAACTCCAACTAGGTACTTTTTCGTGGCATCACTGTTGTTTACGAAATTGAGAGGATGAAAAGTGAATGTCCGGCACTTTAACCGCGTTGGTGGTTCCACCTAGGGGAGTTGAGAAACCCTCATTCCAAACCAATGCTACACATGGGCTCCAGTATCCTGAAGGAACAAATCGCCTATGAACCAATTATCGGTCACCGTCTACCATGAGACTGCATCTCCTGACGTTGCTGCACTGCCTTGTGGATCAGACCTTTAGGTCGAATGTTCCTCGTGTGGTCCCCTAAGAAAACCAATTGTTTGGGTTTGGGCACCCAGCTAGTATCACAGTCCACACACAAATCAAATGGCTTGTATGGCACATATGTATTCTGTGCCTCTTTGTACCAATATTTCCGTGTTCAACTGAATAGATCCAGAGCAAGCTTAATCATTACTATCTTATCGAACGAACATCTTGTTTATAACCTATGGAAATCTGACAGTTTATTACTATCAGTTTAGAAAGATAATTAAAACTCAGTAGCTAAGTGGATAACACGATGGCATTTGAAGCGAACGGTACTGGGTTCGAGTCTCAGGGTGAACATCAACTCTGTAGATGCAGATACATCCAGCTGACGAGTCCCACATAAGACGGAACTCGCCTCAAACTAGATTCCACTGCTAGCCACTATCCATCTTTGCTGCTAAGCTAAAACAGTTTTCTAAGTTCATTATTGATTATCATTACTAACTTATTCTTATGTACTAACCATTTTACAAGGCATAAATCATTCATAGATAATAAAAAGAGTTTAACAATGTATTACCTTAATTACATTGATTATCTGTGTACTTGTTACAGTGACTCATTTGTAAACTCTTTTGTCTATACATACACTGTTTGTCTGACAATTGTCTGAATTTAATATTTCTCTTCCCTTTTAACTAATACAACTGTTACTATTACCATTACTAGTTATGTTAATATGTTCAAGTGTTATATTGGAATAACAGTGCACACATTTTTGAATGATATTTCTTTCAATAGTTGAGATCATGAGTCAATTGAAGCTAGATCAACATGAAAAACCTGGAAGAACTGGATGGCCATTTCGTCATATTGTGGGATTTCTCACCAGTAAGCATACATGATCATACTTCGCGGGATTCGAACACAGGACCTATCAGTCTCACACGCGAGCACTTAACTACTAGACCATTGAGATGGCCGGCATTCAATGGTGTTAATATCTAACTTCAACTAATCGATGAAATTGAGTCACCGTTCATGATTGTCTTCAGTGAGTTAATATCTCATAACAGACCCTGTTGAACTCCACTGGTCACCGATTCTCACTAGACCTCCAGGATATAACTCTTGAAGTCAGTTACTAGTGAGCATATATTGATTAGTATCAGAAGGTGTTTTTTTGAAGATTGCAGTAATTTGAATAGTTGAGATCATGAGTCAATTGAAGTTAAACCACCATGGAAAACCTGGAAGTACTGGATGGCCGTTTCGTCCCATTGTAGGACTCCTCAGAAGTATTTTTTCACAGGAAATATCAAATGAATGATTGGTTTAAAAAACGTGGATTAGTAATAATTGGAATATGCATATTTATGGAGTATATTAATAAAAAAACTCAATAATGAAGAGAGATAGGGGTTGATTAAGATAACGTTTCAA